ATTTGTATACTTCCTTAGCTTGCAGGATAACTATACCGATTATTCATTTTAGCATTACCTAAGCTCTACAGGTTACATTTATTTACTATGTCTGCTTGCAGCTGCAGCTGTGAAGAAGTCTTTGTTTTCTGGAGAATCCTTGTTTGTTTTCCCAGAATAGTTCATCCTTGGGTTTGCAACATTGCTGAGCTTTCCCAGATAGCTTGTCCTTTGCTTGTCCTTTGGCTGCAACATTATGCTGCAAAAATAACTTCTAATGCTGAGAAGCTAAACTCCTGAGGCCTACTTCTTAGTTATATGCTCAAAGCTCCCATAAGCCTTTGCTCGACTCTTGCTCGCACAATGCTCTCTGGGAGCTGTGCCCCTGTTCCCTTAGCCATTCTTCAACAGCCAGGTCCATCTGTGTCACCGTTTCCTACAATTACCTGTAATCACTTTTTGCTTTTTTCACTTGACTGGAAATTAGCAGGAACAGATTTTTTTGAAGTCAAATCCTTCAGTTAAAAGCTGCCATTTACTTATCACATTGATGTTCTTGTAGGATCATGTTCCATAGGTAGGAACACTCACTTTATTTGAACCAGTTATGGTGGCTTTGATAAACAACCTTTGACACCTTTTGCATTCTGCTCAGATTTCCCAATGTTGAAAGGAAGACTATCCTATCTTATCATCAGTACAGCAGATGGTATCAGGATTAGATCTTGAGTATTTAATAGAGCATTTGGCTTCGGTGTCATTTATGTGGATCCTTCAGCACATCCCAGCTAAAAGACAAAACCTGAGTGAAGGTCCATCCTCACATGACATCGAAAACTGTGTTTCTGTTCTGCAGCTTGCAGTGGGAGCATGTGGATACCGAAAGATCTCAGCCCATCAAACCTGCACAAACTTTCATTTTTTAATGAATGGGATCTAATATTCCTTAATAAAGGGGATTTTGTTATTTGATTTTGGCTGCCTGGCACTGGGAATGGATTTGGCATGATGTATCATGTCCACAGTTCTGACACAAATTCAGAGGTTATTTCTTTGTGGTTATGGAAGTAACACTTAAGACTGAGTTTCAACACAGCAGGTGTAATTTTCAGCATTTCATTGACTATATCCCAATTCCTACTTTCTGGTCCACAGTAACAAGCAAGCTATTTTAATGCTTATTTTATTTTCAGTTTGTGTTGTCTCTTGGAAGTGAAGATACTACATCTCCATACTTTGGAGGGAGATGTTATTAATCACACAGTAGTTTCTTGAACCTTTATTTCTGCTCTGATTTTGCAAAAGCAGACACTAAAGCTTTGCTATGTAGTATGGTCTGAACGGAGATAATCGTTTGTGGGAGTTTTTTTTAGAATTCTGTTTTATTTTAGGATAAGCCTAAGTTTTTATGACTGTTTGCACAGCCATAAAAACTCAACAGAATGTACAGATTCAGGAAAATTAAGCCCATGCTGTTCCATTTGTCTCATCATTGTGTGGATAGCAGTTTCCTGCACGGAGCTCTCTCTGACGCTGTCGAGCTGTAACACAACTGCCACTTCCAATACTGGAGATAGTTTATAATAGAGTTGCTATTTCTTCCACTTCTAAAGCCTAAGCAGAACTGGTTTGCTGTATCTTCCACTTCTGGTACTTTCTGCTTTGGGAGGCTGCTGTTTAACAAAGGCTTTCCCAGCTATATGGCTACTGTAATGCAGAGTAAATGCAATTTTGGCTACTGAGATTCTAAAGACAAAGAATATTTCAGACTATTTTAATACTAATACAGAAAATGCTGATCTTCTTAAACCACAGGGAAAATTGATCCTGTACTACAGAGCAGGTATGCCATTATAAACAGTAGTTCTGATTATCTAGCTAAGGCAAAGCCAGTGAGGTTACTTGGTGGTATTTTGGGACCTGGAGAGGGATAATAAGGACTGCAAAAGCAACACAGTTTCCAGTCAGTGTTTCGGCCATCCTGGCAGTTCATTTGAACTCTACTGAGTACCCATTAAATACAAGAAGAGCGAAATACACAGGCAGGTTTTGCTCGAAAACAGAAAAAAAAATAGTTTGTGTTGTGGTCTTTTTCCCCCCAGCTCCTTTATACGTGAACAAAAGGAAGTTAATTTGTCCGAGCTGGCAGTCCATTCTTATTTTAATCACTTTGCTTGCTTGAGCTTCTTTTACATGTCTCCTCTACCCTTATAGTGGAAAAAAAAATATAGCAGTGTCTTGATTTAGTGTGCATAGACAGTGCCTTGATGTTGGCACTGTTCATACCAAGGAGCATCCGCATGTGGTTATCTCTCTGCTTGCTCTGATATAGGCTCTGTGTTAACTCTGCACTTCACGTGGCTGCTCTGAACAGAAGTGGCAGGTGGGAAAATGAACACATACTGTGTCAAAGAGCATCTGGTCTGGGAGCAAGTAGACCATGCTCTTCTTACCACCAGCAAGAAATGATTATTCACAGTGTGATTCTTCTGAGGTTAATAAGGATGGTGGTAGAAAGCTAGACTCTAATTTGAGTTTTTTTGATTGACTCTTAATGATATCTCACACACTGGTCAGTGGCATCCAATAAATGGCAGGCACTTCTGACCTTCCTTCCCTTTCTTGTTAAGTAATTTCAGCTATATAACAGCAATAAGACCAGACAGGCAGTGAATTTCCTAGGTGGTAATTGAATTTCTTCAGTGGCTCAGATCTTCACCCTGCAGCATCCAGACATAGCTCACAAACCACGTAGCTGACTCCACTTTGCAGTCTTTTGGCACCTGGGTGCTGCACTTTAGGGTAAGAAGGGCAAAATATTATGCTGGTTTAATGACTCTGGATTTAAACACAGAAGTGAGAGGTAGATAAGTCTGATTTGAAGTATTGGCCTCCTGCCAAATTAACATCGTGCATTATCGCTTTAATGTGCTTCACAAAAAACTGATATATCAAAGTGTCATTCTTTATTATGTAGGCCTGAAGCATATGTTAGCTAATTTTCTGCCATTTCCCTCATGATTTCTTTTTTCCTCTCATATTTTTGGATCCTGGTTGCATGGTTGGATTTTTTCAGTAACGTTTATTTACAAAAACTAATTAGACTTGTTGCTATCAATAGCCTCTAACAGAGCTCTTAAGAACAAACTGCACGGCAAATTGACATCATGTCCTTGTTAAATCAACTCCTGCTGAGTGGGCATGATTTACATATTGATTACTTCACTTTCTTGATTGCCCTTTTGCAGTGAAATAGTGGGGAGGGAATGGTGGGGAGCAGAGGTGTGAAAAAAGGGAAAATTGTACTCTAGGGGAGACCCTGTTGGTAAAACAGGGATTCCCAAACTGTGCCCTTGAGCAATGTATGCCAGACTGGGATGGACCCAATGCACAGCAGGACAAAGGACTCCTCACCACCTCAGGGTTTCCTTTCTTCCCCAGCTTGTGCGCTACAGCTCGGAAGGTGTCCTGCAGCTGGGGCCTCTGGGCTCAACATCCTTTCTGCCTGACTCCAAATGCCTTGTTGATGATGGAAATGGCAGGACACCGACTCTGAAGAAGTGTGAAGATGTCCTGAGGCCAGCACAGAGGTTCTGGGATTTCACACAGGTATGGAAACCTTGCAGAGATCAACTGGAGAGGAACGATGCTCTAGAGGATATTTGATGGAAAACAAGGAAGTCTTTAGAGGACTCTGTTAGTCCTCTGTGCCTTTTAGAAATAGTCAAATATGCTTTCCATAGTTTGTGTGCTACCCAAGACTATTCTTTTATTATTACTATGAATTTTGGGATAGGCTTTGCAGAAATTTGTGATTATCCTGTCTTGGAATATTCTCAGTTTGTGTAGTGATTGTCAAGAACATGCTTGTCATTTATTTATTTATTTGTGTGTCCAGCAATTTTGTTTCTAGAACTTCTCAAGGATTTTTCTAGCACCTTTCTAGGACTTTTTAGATCTGTAGTTTTCAAATGATTTTTAGGACTTTCAAAGGCATTATTACAGTTTCTGGGATTTCCTGTTTCTTGAGCTTGTAGGGATTCACTGGTGCTTTTTAGAGATTTTCTAGTGATTCGAGGGGATTTTTTCCAGCAATTCCTAAATCTGCAATTATCAAGAAATTGGTTTGGTACTTTGCATGGATTAGCTAGCTTCTCCTAGGAACTTCTAGCACTTTCTAGGGACTTTTATCAGTTGATATATACAGAATTTCCAGGCATTTTATAGTGATTTCTAGGGATTTACAGATCTAACAATAATTTTCTTCTAGCCTTTTTGCCTTTTCTGTTCTTCTAATCCTTTTTTCTTTTCTCTTTTTCTCTTTTTTTTTTTTTTCCAGAATGGTCCAATCATCAGCAGAGACACTGGCCGTTGTCTAGAAGTGGAAATGTCAAAGGATGCTAATTTTGGGCTCAGATTAGTTGTACAAAGGTGCTCGGGGCAAAAGTGGATGATTAGAAACTGGATAAAACATGGCAGACACTGACTGCTGGGGCTGAGCTGCCTCTCCTGCTGTTGTCCATTGCTCAGTGTGCCATACCTTGCAAGGCATTTGTCTTAAAGTAAATCAATTTGAACAGGACTTGGCTCTCAAGTGTCGTCCATAGTTGGGCATTCAAAGGAAACAAAGAAAAGCAGACACATATATGCCCTGTCTGGCTCTTCCTTGCTCCAGTAGATGACGTGGGAAGCTTAACAAGAGTTTTCTGTTGATTTGGAAATCTTGTGAAGATCAGAACACAATGGGAAAGTGGATTCCTTAAGCTCTCCTAGAGGAATTAATTGACAGATCTTTCTGTGATGAGATCAAAGGAGAGATCCCTATACTGCCTCATAAAGAGAGTTCTCTGATGGGTAGCTTTTTAGCTTTAAGTTTTTGACTGGTGCACAACTCCTATGGTGAATAATCATGTGCCTTTTTTATTGTACTTCGTATAAAAGAGGACCGGAAAAATCCTACCTTTTCAGCATGTCTGGTTCGTTGTACTAAACAAGAAGCTCTGTAAATAACACTGGAAATATAATATAAGACAAATTTCAAGGTTGATTGTTTAGGAGTCTCTGTTTCTAGAAAGAGACTGTTCTGCAAATGTTTACAGGTGGTTCTCAACCTTCAAGCTGCTGAAAAGCAGCATTTTAGAGACCTCTTCTAGTTAGACACAGGTAAATGTTGAATAGGTAAATAGCCACATGCTCCGTTATATTGCCACATTTTACATTTCTTGGCTGTAGAGGCATCACAATATAGCACTTGCATAATTAACTCTTCTGAGGCAGTAAATGTTCTGGTAGAGGGATGAATTTCAAGAGGCCTCAGTTGGCCCCCAAGCCCTGAGTGGATGTGTGAGGTTCCCGTCCTGCCGTGCTGTGCATGCAGGTGCAATGTTGTGTTGTTCCAGAAACTGCCTGGGAGCTGGATACTTGTTACTTCTGAAAATAAATTGACTGACTTAAATGCCATCTGTGTAATTTAAAAACTTGAATCTTCCATTTTGTTACCCATTCTGTGAAAATGTCAAATGTGAGCAAATACGCTTTGTGAGCACTGCCTGGACAAATTTCCTGAGCAAACCAACAAAATCTTTTCAGTATTTGAAAAAAAACCAAAAACCTAGTGCTAAGAAGGCAAATTAGAGCAAGAAGTAGGGAGCATATATGAATACTGTTACTCTGAAATATAAATACTTTACTGTAGTTGACCCGTTGACAGCATCTTTGTGAACCTGAATTTAATGTATCCAGTGGTTCCTGCAGGATCTGTGCACAGGTGGGCAGAGCAGTGACAGAGTCTTATCCAAAAGGCTGTCAAAGTTGATGACCACTATCAGTGTCAGCAGGTTTTGGATGTGTGTCCCTGACAGAAACCTTTTCAGGGCAGAAGATTCAGTCATACTGAAGGAGAGACAGAGATGGTATCTGTTAACTTCACTGTTTAATATTTTCTAGTAATTAAAAACAATTTTTTTAAAAGTTCTGTTTTACTGAGCCAGGAAAATAGGTAATTGCAGACACTGCAGTACTGTGAGTCTTGGTGATCTGTTCCTTGAATAGCTTTTGCCATTCCTATCTCAAGGCATGCTGAACAAAATCAAATGGAAACAAAGTTAATTTTTCAAGGGCATGAGGTGCAATAAAATATTTACTTTTAACATGCAAAATCCATCAGTTCTTGTCAACTCTTGGTTGGTATCTGGAGAGCATAGCATTATATTTTGCCCCAATTTTATTTTTGAAACACAATGTGCAAGAGACAATGCAAAGCAAATTCTCCTGGAGTTTATTTGTGGCTAATTGCTGACCTCTATTTATGTCACATGAACATCAATATCTACAAAAGAATAATTCTGGGTGAGATTCTAGATATAAAAATGCTTATGGTTAGTTGAACACAACCTTTTGAACAGTGTAATGAGACCTGCAGGGAGAATAGCATCTTTAATAAATGAAGCAATACAGTATCAAATCACAGACAATCTCAGCATTCAAGCCTTCCTGCAGGTCCAAAACAGGTAGGAAGCTTCAGGCTAAATGTAGATTGGGAGCAGCTGCCCTGCATTTAACCTCCTTATGTTAACCTATTAGACAATTTAAAATTAGAGTTACCAGGAGCAGGTGTTGGATGCTTTGCACCGAACTGCGTTTGTAAGTGATTTTTCATCTTCTCTCCAGATACAATTTCCCCTTTTTAAATTTTATGAAAGCTGTATTCTGCTTTTATTTGCTCTGATGGAGTTTTACTCCTTGAACTATTTGTCTGAGGGAGGTGAGGAAGCAAAAGAAGGGAAAGATGGTTTAACCAGGTGAGCTTTCTCGGGAGTAACATCACAAGTCATTCACACCGGTTTTAGTCTTTCCAGTGAGCAAGTGCTAACTATTTTATATGATCATGGATGGAAGTTGAAAGTAATTATATGTCAGTGTGACTACTAAATGCCTAACGTTTAGAGTTACAGAGCTGAACAAAAGTAAATATGCCATGTGCTTTTTTTTCCCCCTTTTTTTTCCCCTTGTCTTGAATTACCAATCTACACTTGATCCTTGGTTAGCAATGGGGCAACAAGCCTTCCAGATCCTGGATAAATGAAAAACCAAGGCTGAATATTTAGAGGAATTCCAGGTTTTAAATTGACTGTCGTAAAATGAGTCTTGCATGTGCAGTTTAGGAGCTTTGAAGCTGAGAGGACTAGATAAATCTGCATTTCCTGGCAAAGATTTCAAGCAAGAATTCAAACCTTTGCTGTGACACCACCATAATGAAAGAGAGTTGGTTGTCTGGGGATTTTGCTACTGCACATTTTCAGTGCTCAGTGCAGAGCATTTGACTGTGGCTGCACCATCTAACTGAGAGTGCTGAGCTCATGGGCTGCAGGAGGCTTGCAAAGACCAGACGTGCAGTATAAGGAAAGCAGATTTTTGTGGCAGATAAATGGCTCAGAGATCTACAGAATAATATAAAAGAATTCAAGTAACTCTTACAGGTGGAGTCGGTATTTTCTGTGATTGTCATTTTTTTAAGATTTGCTGAAACAATTTCTTATATTTGCAAAATGCATCTGTTGGATTCTTTTTACTTAAGTCTTTATCTGTATGAACCACTGCTTTGGCTGTGGTATTAATATAGTGACTCTGCATGTGAGAGGGTCTTAAATATTCTCTCCTAAAAGGAAAAATAATAAAAAAAGCCTTGAGTATTATCTGTTTTAACCAAAGTCTATGGTTCTTTTGTCAGTATTTCACCCCTTAGTATAATCTGGAATCCTGCTTAATGTTGTTCAGATTTTCAGTCTTGTTTCCCACAGTGCAGCAGCCTAGATATTATGAAAAGTATTTAATGTAGTGTTATATGCCTTGTAGAGAAAATTCAGATCAAAGTCTTCATTTGCTATTTTGTTTGATATAGGGGATTATGGGGCTAAATACTAGGTCATAGAACAGAAGAATAGAAAGTGAGGGAGAACATCAAGTCTAGCACACTGCTGTCAAAGGCAAGCCAGTAAAAATATATTTTTCTAAGCATGTCAAGGTCCCTAAAAATTAGTTTGAGCCCTGTGGTAAAAAAAAAAACAAAAACCTTTCTCCTGTGAGATCTATAAACTATATTCCAAGCTGAATGTATTCTTGGCTTGACTAAAGCTATTTGTTCTTCAGCCACAATTGTCCTCTAGCTCTACTGGCTCACTGGTTCCTGAGGCATGCTGACCTCCAGTGGAAAGCAAATAAGAGAAAAAGAACTACAGGAGGTGTTTTGGAAGGACCCAATGGATTCGCCTGCAATTACAAAAGATCTAGATTGTGCTCGTCCATGAGACGTCTTCAGGGTTGTTCCACATCCAAAAATCCAAACTCAGGTTCTATAGAAGTGATCCAAGATCAAAATATGGAAACAAACAACAGATCTTCATACATATTTTGAAAGTGTTCAGTGAGTAATTTGGGGCTCAGTGTGTTCTGAAGATGAATCCTTCACAGTTCTTTGTATATCTTTTCATCAGCCTGCTCCTTTTTAAAGCTGTGGTCTACCAGATGAAATCTTCACTCCCCATGTGACGAGGGGTGTAATCTATCTGACACAGGACAGCTGCAATTTTAAGTACTTAAGCCAGAGCTAATAAGATTTCATGAAATAGCACCAGTCCTAATCTGTTCTTTGGATCAATTGCACAGCATGTAATTCCTTCAGTATCCAGTATTCATTTGAAATGGTTCATTAACAGCCATACTAAAACACATTATGGCCTGTTTTGGGACCCAATGAGTTGGGTTGTAACAACAACTTTAATAGAAGTTGTAGTTCAGAGGGAGCTTGGCATATTATTATTCAGTTAGGACACAAATATCTTCAGTGTTTCATGAAAGGCTTTGGGAGAAAGAATAACTATCAGAATTCACTTGACTGAGGATGTTTCTAACAATGATGTTCCATTTTTGCTGCTATTTTGACTGCCTGATTCTCAGTGCTAATCAAAGTCAATTGTGAGGTCATGCCACAGCTAAAAGGTGGTATTTCAAATTAGAAGAAGAAACTGGACAGAAACCAAGGAATGATCAGGTCTTCACGTGTCTCTAGGTCAGGATGGTACCACGGTGAACTTAGTAGTACCATGTTCTCTTTGGAAAGAATCCCAAACTTAACACATTTTTGTATTGCTTCATTAGGAAGACCTATTGAAGAGACCACTGTTGTGTATACCCCTAAATCTTACCCTGCACATACAATTTGATATTTTTTTTCTGTGTGTGACATTAGTGGACTTAAGCTGAGAGCTGTAATTACTGAATGCATAGAAAATATGTTAACTGGCACCTTGGTCAACAGAAGTATGTGCATCTTGCATTTATAGCTTCCTGTGTGGTAACCAGGACATTCTTGAAACACAAATGCACGGAGTGCATTCTGCTGGAGATGGAGTCTGCTCTCCTAGTGATCCAAGGGAACTCAAGGAGTAAATACTGAAGTTATAGCATTCTCAGTGAATTTGGCCCAAA